GACAAATTTTCCATGGTGCCTCCAGCTCCCAGGGTTTGGCCAAGGTGATGAAGGGATCACCCCACTTCTCCAGCGGGCAGCTCTGTTGTTGCTCCCCACACATGCTCTCACTGTTCTCTGGTGCAAACCCCATCCATCCCACCTGGCACTAGTGCTTGGCTTGGGCTCAGGACCTGGGCTGGATCCCTTTCCTCCAGAGCAGGCTCAGAACCTGCTCCTGGATCAGCTTGGTCTCCATCCCTTAGGTGAGTGGGTTGTGTGGGAGGGACCAGCACACAGAGATCAGCCATCAGGACCTGCAGGTGGGAAGGACCTCCTGGCCCCAGGGCTGAGTGATGCAGGAGAAGAGCCCGGGCATGGAGAAGAGCAGGGAGCCAAGATGGGACCCACAGGTGCTGAAGGACTTGACAGAACAAGAGGGAAGGGCCTCAAGCTGCAACAGGACATGATTAGTCTGGGCATTAGGAAAAAAAATTCACAGCAAGAGGGTCAGACCCTGGAAGGGGCTGCCCAGGGAGGTGGTGGAGTCACCATCCCTGGGTGTGCTGAAGGTTGTTTGGATGTGGTGTTGGTGGAGATGGTTTAGGGGAGAACTTTGCAGAGCAGGGATGATGGTTGGACTGGGTGATCCCAAGGGGCTTTTCCAGTCTGAATGGTTCTGTGATTCTGTGACTTCAGAGGAGCCTCTCAGGAGGAGACACCCCAGACCTCCCTCAGGATCAGCACGTAGGAGACAGAGATGAGGACGGAGTCTGAACCCACCACAGTGGTGCCAACCACGAGGCTGTAGATGCTGTTGGACCTGGTGTCCCCACAGGCCAGTTCCACCACCACCAGGTGCTCACAGGGAGGGTGGGGAATGAGTTGGGGGCCACAGCAGGACAGGCTGGTCACCGTGCAGGTCACAGGGGGGGTGGTGGTGGCACCAGGCACCGCAGCAGCCAAGACCAGCCTGGCAAGGGTGGGACCAGCCAGGATGGCAGAGCAGGGCAGAGACAAGTGCTGGTCACAGGCCATGGTGAGCAGGACCCCAGACCCCGTTGTGGAGAAGCTGTGGATGAAGAACATCTGGGCCACGCAGCCCCCAGAGCTGATCTTGTGGGAGCAGAAGCAGAAGATGCTCAGGAGCTTGGGCAGGGTGGAGGTGGTGAGCAGGAGGTCAGTGGCCACCAGCATGGAGAGGAGGAAACACAGGGGCAGGCCTGGGTCCATCCTGGGCACCAGGAGGAGAGGGGAGTTCCCCAGCACTGCCATGGGGCACATGATCCAGAACTGAGCCCCTTCCAGCCCAGGGATGCCCGTCGGGATGGAGGAGGAGGGATTTGAGTAGGACATGGGCACTGGTGCAGAGCTGGAAGGGAAGCCATGGGAACAGTTGGTATAGACAGGGAGAAGAAAGAGCTGCAGCAAATACTGCTCTGGACTCCAGGCACTTCTCAGGCACCCAGACCAGTGACCACGTCCTCCTGCCTCACCACGGGCAAGACACAAACACACGGGGTCTTAGCCCAAAAATATGGGATTGTCCCTGTCTCAGCAGGAGAACAGAGGCTCCGAAGGGTTAAATCACCCAGCTGGCACCCTGGGAATCAGATGCAAGGTTCTCAGGACACATGCCCTCTGGTTTCCCCAACGTCCCAAAGGGCCAGACATCATCTCCTTGGCTTCCCAGACATGTGACTTCCCTGACCCCTGAATGGTTCCATCTCTCATCCCGATGGCTTCATGTCCTCCACACAAAACAAACCACGAGGAGCTCCTCGGGCTGTCTCCAAGCCCTTGCTGTTTGCACTGGAAGGCCAAAGACTGCAAAGCCAACCCCAGGAAATGCTGCCAAGACAATGACATTTGTCACAGCTGATGGCCAAGAGGACCCTGTTTGCAGAGCAGCTCCCTCAGCTCTGAACTCAGGGAGGCAAAGCCACAGCTGCCACCAGCCAGTCCAGCAGGAACCGTGTCTGGTGCCCCAGGTATTTGTCTGGGAAGGGGCAAACACTTCCCAGATCCTGCACTTGGAGAAACCAAGAGACACCTCCTCCCTCCTCTCTGCCAGGGGTACCTGATCCACAGACCCACGTGCTGCTCTGGGCAGTGTTCCCTGCCCCTCACCCGGTACAACAAAGTTACCCAGATTACTAAAAAATGCTGTTCATCATTATTCTGTTCGTGTAGGATGGGAGAATTGTTTAGGTTGGGAAAGACCTTTAAGGTCCTCCAGTCCAAACATTCCCCACCCCTGCCCTGTGTCCCTCAGCACCATCTCCAGGGCTTGGAAACCCCTCCAGGGATGGGGACTCCCCCCCTGCCCTGGGCAGCCTGGGCCAGGCCCTGACAACCCTTGCCAGGGAGAAATTGTTCCCCAGATCCAACCTCAACCTCCCCTGGCACAACTTGAGGCCGTTCCCTCTTGTCCTGTCGCTTGTTCCTGGGGAGCAGAGCCCGACCCCCCTGGCTCCAACCTCCTCTCAGCAGCTGCAGAGCCAGCAGGTCTCCCCTCAGCCTCCTTTGCTCCAGGCTGGACACCCCCAGCTCCCTCAGCTGCTCCTGCTCAGACCTGTGCTCCAAATTCCCTGCCTTGATCTCACCAACCCCAGCCCCTCACAGGGACCTCTCCCTTCTCCCACCAGCCCCAGCACGACTGCAGCTGCAGCCCAGGTACAAGTGCCCTCTCAGGAAGCTCCTGTGATTTGGGGCTGTTTTCAGGTTGTACACCCAACAGGAGGGATGGGAGCAGCACGTTCAGACTGGTCATTGCTCCCTTCACTCCTGTGGGCACAACTCTGAGCACCTTCTTTGTGCTTCAGCAGCACAAAGAGCTGATCAAGGGTTTTTTCCCCACAATTAAGCGTCTCATGAACTCGCAGACTGACAAGTTTTGCTCCTTTCAGTCATCAAATTCCAGAAGATGCCCTAGAAATGGATGCTGTTACCAGGCACCTCACCCGAGCTGGCTGTACCCTCTGAGATTTGTTGCAAACTTGTTGTAATTTATATTGAAACTATGAAATGGATTAAAGTGCCCTTGGAGAACGAGCTGCTCGGTGGGGAACGAGGTGCAGCAGGAGAGGAGCTCTTTGGTTGCTGACACACTGGGAAAGCTTCCCTGGCTGGGCAAGGAGGGAAGAGATGTTGAGGTTTTAACTGTTTCCTGACTCATTTTCAGCAGCTCTGCCTCTGCTGCCAAGCAACAACCCTCCCGTTCACCACCTTCCATGCCCTTCACATCTGTTGTGGTTCTTAGACATCACAAATCTCCCAGCACTGGCACCTCCTTCTGCAAAACCACCCGGTGATCAGAGTGTGCCAAGAGCCCCCCAGCACTGCCAGGGGCACAGATCTTATGAGGGGAGGGGTGGGACAAGGGGTGATGGCCTTAAACTGGCAGAGGGAGCTGGAGCTGAGATGGGAGGGAGAAATTCTGGGCTGTGAGGGTGGGGAGAGCCTGGCCCAGGTTGCCCAGGGAAGCTGTGGCTGCCCCATCCCTGGGGGTGTTGAAGGGCAGGTTGGATGGGGCTTGGAGCAGCCTGGGCTGCTGGGAGGTGTCCCTGCCCATGGCAGGGGGGGCACTGGGTGGGATTTGAGGTCCCTCCAACCCAAATGATCCATGAATTTGGGGTTTTAAGCAAGGTAATCACCACATCCCCTCCCCAGTTCTAGTCACCTCTGACAGATATTGCAGGACCTGATCCCCTTACTAGAAACTCTCTGCTTTCCCCAAACCACCCACTTCAGAACATTTTCCTGGCATCCAGCCCATGTCTCACTGAAGCTCATGACTTTTGTCCTTTCCATTGGAGAGAAGACCAAATCATTACCTTCCTTGAGCTGCTTTTCCATTCTCTTCAGGTTTGTGCCAGAAAGAAGCTCAGGACCGGGGCTGTGACCAGGTAACTGGTCCTCACAACAGCTGGGATAGCAGGTGTCCCACTGAGGTGCCTACAGCTTGTTGGAAGTTTATTTAACCCAGGAGCAGCTTGCAGCCAAACAATTAGCACTGCTGTAATTAACCTGAGCCAGGAAGCAAACTGAAGGTGCAGGTGTTTGACTTGCAGTTCCCTAAAACAATAATCACTTAACGTGGGATGCCTGAAGTAATGAAGTAGCTCATGAACTCTATAAGAGACCAAGTCCACTCAGATGCCTTTGGAATTCCTGCAGAGCAGCTTTTCTGGGTAGATTGCTTTGTATCCCCAAATCTCAGTCTGGCTACGATTTGACCTTGGCTCAGGGCTTGGCACTAGGACTAAAAATCCTTGAATAATATGGGATTAAATGAAAGACAAAACATAAATGATGAATCTCCCCATCTCACCTGGATGGTTCGGACGTGACTGAGCAGCTACATCACCTTCAGATGCTGCTTCTCTCTTGCACCATCGAGCAGCTCCTCCACCTGCCAGAAGGACCCAAACAGTGAGTTTTATTTGCCTGAACACTCACTGCTGGGACTTCAGAGCTGCCATCAGCCCTGGGGAGAGGCTGCTGCCTGGGAGGAGCCAGGAACAGCAACGGTCTGTAAACACAGGGGTTCTTCTCTCCCACTGCTACGTCTGTCTCAGCATCAGGGGGTGTCAAACAGACCTTGGGTCCACAGAGGGAAGGTTTTATCTCTGGGTGGGCAAATATCTGGGGATAGAATAATCCAGTTTCAACCTCCCTGCCATGGGCAGGGACACCTCCCAGCAGCCCAGGCTGCTCCAAGCCCCATCCAACCTGCCCTTCAACACCCCCAGGGATGGGGCAGCCACAGCTTCCCTGGGCAACCTGGGCCAGGCTCTCCCCACCCTCACAGCCCAGAATTTCTCCCTCCCATCTCAGCTCCAGCTCCCTCTGCCAGCTGGAAAGGTGTCCCTGCCCATGCAGGGGGGGCACTGGGTGGGATTTGAGGTCCCTCCAACCCAAATGATCCATGAATTTGGGGTTTTAAGCAAGGTAATCACCACATCCCCTCCCCAGTTCTAGTCACCTCTGACAGATATTGCAGGACCTGATCCCCTTACTAGAAACTCTCTGCTTTCCCCAAACCACCCACTTCAGAACATTTTCCTGGCATCCAGCCCATGTCTCACTGAAGCTCATGACTTTTGTCCTTTCCATTGGAGAGAAGACCAAATCATTACCTTCCTTGAGCTGCTTTTCCATTCTCTTCAGGTTTGTGCCAGAAAGAAGCTCAGGACCGGGGCTGTGACCAGGTAACTGGTCCTCACAACAGCTGGGATAGCAGGTGTCCCACTGAGGTGCCTACAGCTTGTTGGAAGTTTATTTAACCCAGGAGCAGCTTGCAGCCAAACAATTAGCACTGCTGTAATTAACCTGAGCCAGGAAGCAAACTGAAGGTGCAGGTGTTTGACTTGCAGTTCCCTAAAACAATAATCACTTAACGTGGGATGCCTGAAGTAATGAAGTAGCTCATGAACTCTATAAGAGACCAAGTCCACTCAGATGCCTTTGGAATTCCTGCAGAGCAGCTTTTCTGGGTAGATTGCTTTGTATCCCCAAATCTCAGTCTGGCTACGATTTGACCTTGGCTCAGGGCTTGGCACTAGGACTAAAAATCCTTGAATAATATGGGATTAAATGAAAGACAAAACATAAATGATGAATCTCCCCATCTCACCTGGATGGTTTGGACGTGACTGAGCAGCTACATCACCTTCAGATGCTGCTTCTCTCTTGCACCATCGAGCAGCTCCTCCACCTGCCAGAAGGACCCAAACAGTGAGTTTTATTTGCCTGAACACTCACTGCTGGGACTTCAGAGCTGCCATCAGCCCTGGGGAGAGGCTGCTGCCTGGGAGGAGCCAGGAACAGCAACGGTCTGTAAACACAGGGGTTCTTCTCTCCCACTGCTACGTCTGTCTCAGCATCAGGGGGTGTCAAACAGACCTTGGGTCCACAGAGGGAAGGTTTTATCTCTGGGTGGGCAAATATCTGGGGATAGAATAATCCAGTTTCAACCTCCCTGCCATGGGCAGGGACACCTCCCAGCAGCCCAGGCTGCTCCAAGCCCCATCCAACCTGCCCTTCAACACCCCCAGGGATGGGGCAGCCACAGCTTCCCTGGGCAACCTGGGCCAGGCTCTCCCCACCCTCACAGCCCAGAATTTCTCCCTCCCATCTCAGCTCCAGCTCCCTCTGCCAGCTGGAAACCCTTCCCCCTGCTCCCATCCCTCCCTGCCCTTGTCCCAAGCCCCTCCCCAGCTTTCCTGGAGCCCCTTCAGGCCCTGGAAGCTGCTCTCAGGTCTCCCTGGAGCCTTTTCTTCTCCAGGCTCAACACCCCAACTCTCCCAGCCTGGCTCCAGAGCTGCTCCAGTCCTCCCAGTATCTCCGGGGCC